CCCCCCAAAAAAAAACAAAAACAAAAACCAGCCCCAGCAAAAAGAAAAAAGAACCAGACAACTTTTACAACTTAATTTTTAGCTTACCATAAAAAATTTAACCATGCATATTCCGATTTGACAACTTTGATCACTATATATACATACACAAATACAAAGAAAGAACACTCTACTTCAACAAGGGATATCATTTATGTAGTTAAATTTAAGAAATATGAAACAAATTGCAGCCTTTTAGGTACTTTCACGTGGTACTGAAACCTCAAACTGAAAGACTGCCGGCATAGAGTTAGATAATATATCCAATATGACGAGTAAATTTAAAATAGATAAAAATTATGAAAATATACTAACATAAGAGAATGTCCATTAAACTTCTTAGAGCAACTTGAGAAATAGCATCAAAAGAAAGAAGCAATAAGCAAAATGCTACTAACATTAAGCAGATGAAATAAATAAACTACAAAAATAAAAGTTGGCTGCAAGGTTTTAAATATCAGATATCGGAGAAATATCGGATGACCAAAATTCATATCGGATTGCGGATATCGGAGAAATATCTGGGATATGTGATAAATATCGGAATGACAAAACAGATGTTTGCATATATAGTACAATGTACTAAAATGTAATCTCAACATACTTAATGAAATCTAAGCATACAAAATGTAGATAATATATGTTTAGGATCACTAATCAACCTTATAAAACAAACAAAAGTACAACTCAACATTGCTACATATCGTCAAATTTTTTGTAGGTCAAAACGTCATTTGATATAATGGGAAAACATGATATCTCGCCCAAAAATTGCCAAATACGGTACATTGTTTTGTGACAAGTCATATAAAAAGATATATTGGCCAACATATCGGCTAATATATTAGCTACATTAGGGATATAACGCCCAAAATAGCCAAAATGCGGTAAAGAATATTTAGAGACCATATAGGTTGTGGCAAGCCTTGTAAGAGGATATATCAGGCCATGTCGGGGATATTTAAAACAATGGTTGGCTGAGATAGGCGGTTAGCAGATGTCACATTAACAAAAACTTTTAGGGGTTTGAGAAAACTTACGTAACGGTGGAACATATCAACAGCTTTCTCTGCTTCCTCAACAGTACTCATGGTCACAAACCCAAAACCACGACTCTGATCTGTTTCTCTGTTATAGATAACCTACACAAGCAAATACATGAGTCACATCTTAGAGGAAACTTCTTTGGCAATCAAAGTACATTTTTATCAAATATATTTGTATATAAAGGTCAGGCCCCTTTTTGCAAAACATTTCATAATCATAGAGAAAAAAAATTAGAGAGTGTTTTGTGTGTGTTTAACCGAACGTAGCATCCTGTATTTCCTATGAGAGAGAAATATTGCTCTAAACTCCATACCACTATTTTTTGACCTGTGAAGGGTCCTTCAAAAGCATAAAGATCAGGCGTCTCTTTGTAGATATTTCACTATAATAGAAAAAACATAGTGTCTGTGGGTGGGTGTGTGAGCACTCATGCACACGTGTATTTAACTAAAACTAACAACTTACGTGCCCTATGATGGAGAAACTATTGCTCTAAACTCCGAACCATTATATTGGAGGACACATGAAAGGTCTTTCAAAAGCCTACAGTCTTGATCTAAGTTACAAAGGTACCAGTATGGGTACAAGTATGGAAGCAAGTACAGTACAGGACACGAAAAGTTTGCAAAAGGTAGGGTACAGGGATTCGGCTACACATACATGTATATATAATAAATAATTAATAATAATTAGAACAGGTACTATTATATAATTGAGTACACATTTGTAAATGTATGAAAATATCCAAGGAGTGTCCCCTGAAGTTTCGGTGTTGGGTACGGGCAGGACACGGCTACAGCTCCAAGTAGAAGTACCCATGCAATATAGATCGTACTTGAGAACCAGACATGTATATCAAGATCGATAGGAAGTAAATATAGACAAATGAAAACAATCTAGAATAACAGTAGAAATTTCGGCTGAAGAAAGTCTACAATCAGTCCTCCTAATTATATGCCTGAGCAGCTGAGCTACCTCAAACTACATACTTATTATTTCCAATAAACATAAGAAAACAAAAAAAATATTCATCTTTGATTTAGAATACATGCATGAAAAATTCCAAACTTCAATCCTGAATCTACTGCATTACAAAAACCAAATCAAACAAGTCTTCAAAATTTCATATAGCCGCATCACCTATTAGAACTCGTATAACAGAACAGAGAATGTGCAAGCGAAGTGAACTAGTAATACAGAAACTAAAGTATATATATATATATATATATATATCCT